ATGATGATGATGATGATGATGATGATTACGTGATGATACAGATACATCAACAAGTATCTTCTCAATATCCTCAATACCAACATTAGATGCTTCTTTTAACTACCAACAATGATGATGATGATTGAGGACAACATAAATAGAGATATTAAACTAACAACAACAGCAGCAGCAATAACAATAACAGTCTTATTACATCAACAATATTCCTTTCCACTAGCAGCTTGGCAGCTCCTTTAGTCACATAGAATGCAGCATTAGGTAATACACGAATAGCATGGCTAGGATATCTACATGATCATAATAATATATATGTATTCATTATTATAAAAGTTTACTACTTAATATTAGTCTCCTCTTGAACTCCATTAGCCACCATAGGTGCTTTAGCTTCACCAGCTGCTATAAGGATACATACACAGTCAGGGTTATATGTAATAGTACCAAGACCTATAACATGATCATAGGGCTGCCACCAATCACAATAATGATTATGATGATACTTATTTAGTTCTTATTGTTATTACCAATAGTGATAGCACACTTAGCCTTAACAGCATCAATACCACCAAGATCAGCAGATGCAGCAGCTTGAGTTGGATAGTTAAGTTGAGCTAATCTAGTTGTACTCCTATGATCACTACCACAAACATTGAAGGCAATATGACCATCAGGACCAATACCACCCAGGAAAAAACCGATACCTACAATGATATAATAACATGATCATCATCATGATGATTGTAATAGTAGTATTCTTATACTATTACCTCCTAGTGAACGAATCTTTGATTCGTAATCAAGACACCATTGATCAACTTGACGTATCATCTCTTGTTGACGAACTTCTAATGGTGTGGTAGGTGTACGTAAACGTAATGAGAGATCAACAAACCTAATAAAGAGTAATAAAGTTGTTCTTGTTGTTAAAGTCGTATTATCATTACGATCCATCAGCCACACATCTTCTAATGTCTCTTTATCATGAAGTCCTAACTTGGATAAGTCTATATAGAGGCACCTCTCAGATCAAATCCAAGACCATTAATATAATAATTAGATACCTACAACAATCCAAGCATCATACCATCATCATGATAATAACTAGGTAATTACATAATATTTGAAACTATTATGGTGTTCCGGATGCATAGGGTAAAACTCATCCAACATAACAAACCATAGTTTATCAAATCTGGGTGGAGCTACATATCCATCCAAACCGTACATACGACGATCCTCTGAACAAGTAATAATAATAGATTATCAAATACAGTAGTAGTAGTAAGAACTGATAGTAGTGTCTACTACTACCTTTGATATCAGTAGTATCCCATTCCTTGACAATCCTCTGTGTCCACTTTATAAAATATTCAGGTGTCTTACCAGTTGGTAATGCACAGACACCTTCTGGATTTGCAATAACCTAATAATAACAATATCAACAATAATAATAATACCTACCGAGTAGTACTGTAGTACTATTATTACCCATTCTATAAACCTGTAAGCTACGACCTTTCCTAGGAGGGGAAAGGAATCCACTACAAATGTTCTAGTCTTCTCAGTTGGAGCATACATATCCTTAGTATAGATAGACTTATTTAATATAGCTTTCTCTACTGAAGATGATGATGACAATAACACATTATCATGTTCAACAACATTAGATGATATCATATTAGGAGCCATAATTGGTAAGGGGGTAATAAAACTTCAATAAACTAAATGAACATTCAATAAGATAGCCTCATTAATACTACACATTCCATCAATACTATGGAATGCCCGAAAAACTTAGCGGAATTGAGCAGCAGCAGCATCTAGCGCTAATTTCTATGGCTAGCGACAATTACACAACAAGATTCCTTGTCTTGTCTCCCTCTCTAGTTAGTATGATGATGATGATGGTCACCTATAGTGGTGAAGTAGGCAACATTCGAAAACATGATTAACTTGTCACACCGTAGAAAATATCTACTTAGTAATCCACATCTTTAATAGTACTACCAACAACACAACATAATCATTATGGTATTACCAACGGTCTCATTAACCGAGTAGTAAATGCATTGTAAGTAGTATTGATGATGATCATGGCGATGATGATTATGATTATGGATTAAGAGATGAATAGATGACTATGATCATCATAGTCATCATAGTATGATGAAGAGAGAAAGCTAGTATTCGTAGCACTATGACCATAATAATTGAGGCATATCACAAGAGCCACCAAATTGATCATCTTTAGTTGGATCAAGATATTGTTGAGGGTATTCATCCTCAGTATTCATATAGTGACCAGGTAATAATCTAATATGATCATTACTCATAAGACATGTATAACTAAAGAGTTCATTAAATAAGATAGGACTACTTGAATCCTAATAATAAACAAGAACCACCAAGATTGATGATTATGATTAATTACAATTCCTTACCATGTATTGGCAGATCCCATTCTCCTTGAATAACTTTAAAGCTGGCTTTATACCCCATGCATTAGTAATAACATAACCCTTTTTACCAACTTCATCACCTAATATATCAACAAAACTAACTTTCAACAAAGTACACTATCACTACTACTACTACTTACTGCCGAATACCATAAGTACTTTGTTCTCCTCCTCCTCCTCCACCTCCTCCTCTTGTCCAACCCCATTGATTAGATAATGAGTTCTTAGAGCATCATACTCCTGCAGCATTATCCACCAAGGGGTAGTTTCCAATGCTAGACTAATCTTACTTCTATTACCAACCACAGATGCTACTCTTTGACGTAGATAACGGTTACCAAATGTGGCCCATCCGGTATACTAAATACAAAGACAATGATCGTGTTGTATTATATACATGGATTAATGATACCTTCATCATATTCACCAATAGCACCGACCCCTCATGTTGGTGTATTATCACTTGATGCAATATCAGTAATAGGCCAGAAACCTATAGGGTTATATCGATATCGTCTATTAATATCAACAATAACATCACGAGTAAAGTCATCACGTTGAGCATTGATTAATGGTACACCATGACCAGGTCGATAATCCTTAAGACTCTCCTTCTAAGTAGTAGCTGTATTACCAATCATATCAACTGCTGTATCACTACGACCTAATTGCTAAGGATAAAACAACTGTACAGGAGATGTTTGATATGTTCATATAGATACACCATCTAAATAACGATGCATACAATTGATAATAGAGAAGTCATCAGCAGTAGTAGATTGGTAATTAGCATCACCAACAACAGTACTTGATGATAATGGTGCTATACAACAGGGATATTCCCATGGTATTGATATATCATTAATAAGGACTTTCGCAGTACCAAAAAGTGCATTGAATAGACCATAATGAGATGAAGGAGTATCACTAACCTCAGCAATAGTATCATCAATAGCCCATCTTGGTGATACCCAATTGCTGCATCCATCCTTATAATGTTGTACCGGTAAACAATAACAATAATAATAGCAGCGATAGTAGTAGTAGTAGGTGTAGTGGTAGGAGATTACGTATCCGATAACCACTTTCCCAATCAGAGTTGGATATCCCAGTACTCCTATCATCAATAAGCTTCCTGGCATGCCTTAATAGACGCCAATAGGCCACCCCTACAGTCGCAGGGAGTGACCAATGCAACATAGGACTCACCAATTTATAATCAGCTGAACCTAATAATTATGTAATACTAGTGTGAGCACACTAGTAGTACTACCTGGATAGGCTGTACCTAATAGGCTTTGGCCCTAGGTTAGGACGGATCTCCGAATCCAGGTAATCAAATACTCTATTGATGTAGTTGATACTCAGGTCGTAATAACCAATACCAGTTGGTAGAAAGGAAGGAATGATAACCTGTTAATCTATCATATTAGTAGTACACATCACTTACCAGCCTCGTTATTAGGATAATATTTAGACCACAAAGGGCCTTGTTTTTTAATGTTTTGTTCGGTATCTTCAAATCTACTACCAACTCTACGACAATAAGCATTCAACTTAGTATTTCCACCAAAGCGTACACCATCAATAGGATCAATATGTTCACCACTTAGTACCATACCAAACCGAAGTAATCTGAAACCTGCCAGCATCAAACTAATAGTATCCTCACTGTATCTAGTAATATCGATATAATCATTATATTAGATGATACTGATA